GAGTTCAAGGTGTTCTAGCACACACCTTTAATCCCAGCACTTGGGAGGCTGAGGCAGACGGATCTCTGTGAGTTCAAAACCTCTATGTCCCTGTAGTAAAAGCTCTTCATACACATACATGGAGAGCGAAAAAAGAGATCCACCTTCCTCTGCTTCCTGAGTGCTGGGATTAAAGGCGTGTGCCACCACTACCCAGCTACTTCTTATGTCTCTTTATTTAGACTCTCAGACATCAGTTGACTCTGAGCCCAAGCTAAGGGGCGATAAAATGTGAACAGGAACAACCACGGAACAAAACCCATTCTTAAATTCTAGACATTCCTTCTATTACCCACCTGATAAACTTGATTTTACTGAGATTTTTCATAAAACTTAATCCAACAAAGCAAAGGAGAGGTCAGGTAGAAATGCATATCTCGGGCATGGCCTGGCTCTGGATAAGTAAGAAGGACAGATTCAGACATAAAAGATCTCTAAATAAGACACAATGTGTTTAAAAATGTACATAGGCTTGGGAGAGAGAAGAAAAAGAGTATAGAGAGTTATAAAAGGAAGTAAATGGTTTAGAAAACATAAAACAAAGTGTTTAAAGAGATACAATACATGCAGTCTTAGATTAAAGGAGTAAAGATAATAAAATAAATGTTAAAAGGTAATAGAGAAAAAAGCCATGTAAAGATACAATATACACAGAGTCTGGATTATGTATATTACTGTGTTTTCTTTGAAGTTTTTGACTGCAGAGAGATATTTGATTCTGGGGGCTGCTAAGAGAAACCAACATAATGGATATCTTGACTTAAAAATATGGGTCTAAGTATTTGTTGCTTTGGAAAAGAGGTTCTGGTTTTGTTTCCATAGAAGATGAGAATCTGTGGATTAATTTCAGACTAATGTAGTTTTATGGACCAAGACCCCCCAAAAGGTCACCATGAACACCCCCAAAAATACTTCACCCAATAAAAAACAGGAAGCAGTTTGGAGAGAACTACGTCCAAATTCCCTAAATGATTGTTTATAAATGTTTACAATTAAAGGGGGATAGGCTATAGAGATCTGCATTGGTATGGATCTTGGTTTACTGATAGAATTTTTTGGTCAATTTTGTCATATATATTTCTGATCTTGATTAAGGTATTGTGTTTTTGCAACTTATTTAAAAATGTACTGTATAATTAAGAAATATAGGTTAATAAATAATCATCTATAAGTCAAGCTTGTAGTCATGTTAGTTAGGTTTTCTAGATATATAGAGATATATTTCAGATGGATATTCTTCAGATCTTTCAAAGACTACAGAATATGGCATTTAATATGTTTTAAGAACCTAGACTTTTCATGACAATGAGACTCATTTGCTCCTGGCAGCACCAATCTACTTCAAATGGATCATGGGCACTGAAGAGGCTCCTTATGGAGTTGGTTAGACATTTGGATAAGAGACTGCTTGATGCTATGCTGTGTGAACTGGGCATGTAGGGCCCACAGAAAAATGACTGCTGAAGCTGCCTAAAGAAGGTGAGACGGTCCTTCAGGGTTCCTGCTTCATGAGTCTGCCAGACATTCTACAGGACACATAAGAAAATGAGTGACAAACTGCCAATATAGGCAAACTGTCTTTGAAATTTCCTGCTTTTTGGAAAAGTCTGTCTGATGCTATGGGCCTGTAGGCTGAAGATGGATACCTGCAACATTATAGAAGAACTTTGGGTGACTCTCTAGGCAGCGAGAGGTCTCTGTCAATTATAGAGTTTTGGAAGTTGCTTACAATGCACTTCCTGTTTACTTAGGTAATATATCCTTCTGGGGTCTTTGATGGAGTTGAAGAATAGTTATAGTTTCCTTAGGTATCATAAAAGACAAAGTAGATATAAATATTGCAACTGTAATTCTTGCTTGATACTTGTTTTGTTATATGTAATTTTATTATATTAAAGTTAAACACTTTTTATTTAAAGCCGGGCGGTGGTGGCACACACCTTTAATCCCAGCACTTGGGAGGCAGAGGCAGGTGGATCTCTATGAGTTCGACA